ACCCTGCTGAACTCTCTGAGTACATAATCACAAAAGAGCAGTTATTTTCTGGCAATGGACTCTGCCTCTCCACCCTCCTGACATTAAGATGCACAGGAAGCATCAAGAAAGCCAAAGGGTTCAAAAATCAGAATTCCAGGACAAGGGCCCAGACAACAAGGCCCCATGCAGTCTACCTTGAGAGCCATTGATGGATTCAAAGAAGTCCCAGGACCCTCGGCAAATTGTCATTCACAGGTTTCCACCTGGTGATCTGACCTTAACACAAAGCCACCTCTCTGCTCTTGTAGACTTCTTTCTGACCCTGCCAATTCATACATCTTTTCTTTACTCCCCACCCAAGTTCCCAAGAGATGCCAAGATCTGACCATTTCATAGGCCCCAAAGGCCACCATCTCTGGCCAGTCTATGAATCTGCTGACCTTGGGCTGGGTACCCATCAACTAGGGCAAAGAATGGCAGGGAGGGGGGACAGCCGCCTTGGATGTGGGCACTGTGCATGCAGCAGTTCCTTCAGGTGTGACAGGGGCAGGGGTAGGCCACCTGATTGCCATGTCACGTCTGGCTTGCTTGCATGGGGGCCAGTTCTGATTCCAAAGTGGCTGTCTGGGGAGCTTGGAGCACCTTTGTGTCATCCCCAAGCATTGTAGCTTCCCAACAGCTATGCAGCCATTTGCAGCTCTTAAACCCTGGGTCTCTGAGGTCCGGTGAGGCTGAGTGACCTGAGGTCCCATAGTCCCATGTTCCTGGGTCCCAGACTGTCCCACTCCATATCAGAGAAGCCTGAGAATGCATGCCAAGTCATATGCACTATGCTGTTTATTGTCACATGTTACCCATGGGACAGGGGGCACAGAGGGGGGCGGTTAGCCCTCAGGCGGAGAAGTGGAAGGAGGGGGGAACTGGGAAGCATACATCTCCAGAACTTCCTCCCAAGCAGCCCCCCAGCGGATGATGTGGCTCGTCCAGCAGCTGTGGGGTCAGGAGGCAGGCTGTGCTCAGATACAGGCACAGTGCTGCGTGAGAAGGTTGGGCACTGTCTCGTACTTGAAGGAGTAGCCTCCATCTGAGGTGGTGCGGACACGCAGGGACCTCATGGTCCCCGGGAGAGCAGCACAGCAGGGCTGGGCCCCTGGCAGCAAAGAGAGGGGCTGGGCTCCTGGCCCCAAAGAGAGGGGCTGGACAGGGGTGGAGGCCGCCCCGGGGGTTGGCAGGGGTGGGCTTGGTAGGGTGGGCAGCCCACAGTTCCCGTGACAGTAGTGGAAGACGAAACTGGGAGGGTGCACAATCCAGCGGTCCCAGCCCAGCTCCTGGAAGGAGATGTTGACAAAGGCTCTGTGGCAGTTGGTGTGGGCAGTGGGTTCTTCTGGAGGTCTCTGCAGCAGGTGCAGCGCGGCTGGAGACCAAGGCCAGGGCAGCGGGGGAGTCGAGCGCCGGGCTCTCTTCTCTCCGCTGGGTGGTATGGCCCGGGTGTGGGCCACCAGGAAAGGTGTGGCCTCAGGCTGGGCTGAACAGGAACAGAGGGGACAGCGCAGCAGGAGCACCAGCACTGGCTGGATGAGCAGGGGGAAAGCAGAGGAGGCCAGGTGCAGCACAGCCCAGTGAGAGGGCGCCTGGCCCAGTGACATGGGCACAGCCATGGGCCCCCCAGATGACAATGCCAGCAGGCTGAGCAGGGGCCCAGAGCTATTAGAGACTGCTGTATCCTGCCTGTCCAGCCCAGTGTGGAACCACAGCTGGGCTGAGGTCACCTGGCGGCTGCGTGTGTGCTGGGACGGTCGGAACACATAGGTAAAGAGGCCCTTGGCAGCCTCCTGGGCCAATTGTCCAATGGCTGGCTCGTCCTCACAGCTGGAACCTGTGGAGACAGAAGGGAAGGGAGAGGACAGCCCTGACGGCAGGGGCCTGGGACCTCTCCATTCACGAGGGCTGACCGTGTGCCAAGCACTCTGAGGAGCACCTTACCACACTTCGGGACTCCACAGTCTTGGGGGAAATGACGTAAGCTAACCATCATTTATTTCATCATTAAAGGACTTAAAAAAAAACTTTACAAGATATTGCCGACTTCTCTCTGAAGTGGCTGTACTAGTTAACACTCTCATATGCACTGTGTAAGAAAGCCCTGGCCCTCTCGACCTTCAGCAACACTGACAATTGTTGGACTTAAGTTTTGTCCATCTGATAATGTGCAGTGGCACCTTCAATGGTGTGTATGTGGGTGTTTCTTATCTTACTCTTTATAATATCTTTTTGCATGTCAGAAATATTACATGATAAATTATTTAAAATAATTCCATTTTTAAAAAGACATGTTAACAAAACAAAAAAGGAGAAAAGACATAACTCAGAGTAGAAGGCAGTTCTTTCCAAGAAAGTGCAGAGTTGGCATCCTTACTCTGGCATGTATATAAAATAAAACAAAAACAAACCCATTGCCACTGAGTTGATTCTGACTCATAGCCACTCTATAAGACAGATTAGAACTGCCCCATAGGGTTTCCAAGGAGTGGCTGGTGGATTCAAATTGTCGACTTTTTAGTTAGCAGCGAAGCTCTTCAGACTGTTACTGAACCATGGACCAGCACCAGTCGAAGGCCTGACACTTAAGGCTAAACTGTTACACAGGGATTCTCTCATTAGAATCCTCACAACTGTCCATTTTGCAGATAAGGAAACTGAGACTTAGAGAGGTGAGGTGGCATTCAGCTATTCAGTGGCCAGGCTGGGATTCTGCCTAATCCTCAAACCACACTTTTAATAACTGTGCTATCCAGGACTGAAGGGCAGGGAAGCAGGGAATCTCTCCCAAAGAAAGGAGGGCCGGATACAAGAATCCCACCCACAGGAGGGCTGGCTGCATTGGTGCAATCAGTGGAGCATGGGGAAATACACAAGGAGGTGGGACAGGAACTGAGAAGGAGATAGACTAGTTTCCCAGCTACTCTTTCTCCTGCATCCCTGAAGTCTTCTCAAGTTTCAGCCACCTGGGGCTGAAGATACAGGGTTTAGGGCAGGGAGAAGAGGCAGAGGTAGGAGGAAAAGGTGGCAGGAAGGGGCCCAACCTCCTCGGGGCCCAACCTCAGATGGCTCTTTTTCTAGAGACCCTAGGTCTCCCACATAGCTCCCAGATGCATTCTAGATACACTGTCTTATTTAATCGTGAGAGGCAGGTGTTCAGCCCATTATACAGATGAGGAGGCGGAGGCTCAGGGAGATTAGTAACTTGCCCATCGCTGCAAAGCCACTTGAGTGGTAAGGCTGGGATTCAAACCCAGGTCTGCCTGGCTCCCACACCACCCTGCCTCTCAAAGTCACCCTGCCAGTTCCCCATCCTCGTTACCTGTGGCTGGGAAAAGGATAGCCTGGGAGACATCTTCCTCCTCCTTGGGCTCTGAGCCCCTGCGCACGAAGCCCCCCAGGGCATGTCTTCGAGGCAGCCGCCTGATTCCAGGGTCCCCACCTTCCCTGGTCACTGCCGGGGGCCCCAGGGCATCCAGGAACAGGGCCTTCACCTTGGCCAGAACAAGCTCCCGGTCCACCTCTGGCCCGTGGCAGCCATGCCCACCCTGCAGGGCCAGCAGCAAGAGAAAGAACAGTGGCCTCCGGGGCACCATGGCTCACTTGGCCTCTGCCAACCACAAACCCACGCCCTACCCTGTGCCCCTTTTGTCAGGGTCTGCCCAGGGCCTCCCCACTCTCCCCTCCCCATCCCACCACCCGCCCTCTTCTACACTTCTCACCCCAGTCTTCCCCAGTCCTTCCCACGCCCAGCAGTCCCAGTTGCCCTTGCCCATGGCATTGAGACCTCCTATCTCTGACACAGACGTCTGTGACCCTGAGCCTTATCTCCCACTCCCGACAGGAATGTGGGGGAGGGGGCTGGTGAGGGTTTTCACCCCAAGTGACCTGACTCACACATACAACCCCTCCTCCCTACATACACGCAGTGTGAGTCTCACATCCCAGCAGCCAGCACACAGGTTACATCAGGTGGGACAAGAGTGTGGGAGGTGGGGTCCGCCAGCTACTGAAGGTGTTATTTGTCAGGGAGACAGACTGGCCAGCCCCCTCACACCTTCTAGGGGCCTCTCGCAACCAAGCAGCTGCTCCGCCAGCCCTTGGGGGAGGGGCTGGGGCTGGGGCTGGGGCTGGGGCTGGGGCTAGAACTGGGGCTAGGGCGGGGGGCAGGTGGTCCCGCCTGCTCTATACTTAGCCTGGAGGAGCCAGTCTGGGCTCTTGTCCTCCAGCTGTGTCATCAGAGAATATTTTTGGGATTGGCAGCTGCAGGCGCCTCTGCCACTCAGGCCCAAGGCGGGCGGGCCGCTGGGGACCTGGCGGCTGGAGGTGGGAGGGAGGAGGGGAAAGAGGCCCCGGCTGTGGGAGGGGGCTGGGAAGAGAGGCTCGGAGAGCAGGAAGCCAGGCCGCGGGCAGAGCAAGCTGCGGGCCCTGGCTGCACAGGCAAACAGGAAACACTGCCCCGAGCTCCAGCTCCGGGCCTGGAGTCTCTGCGAAGAACCGCAGCTCCGGGCCGAGGGTAAGGAGGCGAGCCGGGAGCGGCGGCCGGGGAGAGCTCCGCGGTTTCCGCGCCCCGGCCCCCGCGCGCCCCGCCTCCCGGGCTCGGCGCGTCTGCAGGCCAGTGCTCGCCGCCCGCGCGTTCTCCGCGTCCCTGCAGGCCGTCCCAGGCCGCTGGGATGAAGGCGGGCTCGGGGGACCAGGGGAGCCCCCCGTGCTTCCTGCGCTTCCCGCGGCCCGTGCGGGTGGTGAGCGGCGGCGAGGCCGAGCTCCAGTGCGTGGTGCTGGGCGAGCCGCCGCCCATTGTGGTGTGGGAGAAGGGCGGGCAGCCGTTGGCGGCCTCGGAGCGCCTGAGCTTCCCGACCGACGGCGCCGAGCACGGTCTGTTGCTGAGCGGCGCCCTGCCCACCGACGCGGGGGTCTACGTGTGCCGCGCCCGCAACGCGGCGGGCGAGGC